TTTAAGAATGTCTAAGGGTGAGAAAGAAGGGCTGGGAGCAGCGGCTCAGTTGAGGTCAAGAGCTGCGACCAGCCTAACACTGCAAAACCCCGTCTCTACCCAAAACACAAACATCAGCCAGGTGTGGGCCTGTAATTCCAGCCACTCAGGAGTCTAAGGCACCAGATTATCCTGAACCCGGGAGGCAAAGGTTGCTGAGATCATGCCTCTGCACTCCAGCCTGGAGGACAGTCAGGGTCCTTCTCCCCCTACCCCCACCCCCCCAAAAAAAGATACTTGCTACCCCAAGTAAGATTCAACCCAAGATACCAACAGACATCGGCTGAAGGAAAAATTTGTATCGTTTAAATTATTTTTATTTACAGCAAACTCTACTATGTACATTTCACCCCAAATCACTTTCAAGTTCTTTTGGCCTTTCCTTTTTCCAGGCTTGGCGATGTGAGCCAGACTTGGGACCCAGGACGTTGCCTCCCCAGTGACGGCGAATCTGAAAACACAAAAAGAGGGAGTCAGTTTAGCCTCTTGTTTTCTCAGATTTTCAAGGTTACTGCATGGTTCTGTTGGGCTGTTCCAACCTGATCGCCAAATAGATCTGCTCATATGTTAAGCCAGCCAGTTGTTTGGGAAAAAGATTAGTACATGACAGTATTTTGTGTGAAGCTGCTCTTACCTCATCCTATCTGTCACTGCAGTTTGTCCTGACAGCTCCCACCAGCTCAGCCAAGGCGCCTTTGTCTTCCCTAACACGGCAGGATGGAAAACCAAAGTGGGTTTTTGGCCTCTCTGTTTCCCTTTTAGAACGTGTGTCTTCATTTTTAGCTCAAAACAGACTTTTGCCTCAGATGTAATATGACCACACGGTTTATTCAGGTGAAGAAATTCTCAACCATCATTGGCAAAAGCTCAGATAAATGTATTTCTTAAAAGATCAGCCTTTAAGGAAAACAACTGTGACGCGTGTATTCAATGCACTGGGGAAGTCTTCGGGCAGGCCGTGTACTTACTCATTAACTTGGGTGAATGCGACAGTGGTGCAGGTCTTCCTGTGGATGAGACGTCCCAGTCTTGCCTTAGCCTTGATAGTACAATAAGGGACTCCCATTTTCTGACACAGGGCAGGCAAGAAGACCACCAGCTGAAAGAAAGCATTAGCTGAAAAGTGTATTTGGACCAAAAGCAGTACATTTCAAAGCTAGCTCGGCAGCAACTGCTCAGGGTTAAAAAGCTCATGGATTTCCACTTCAAGGTTGAATTCAGTGAGAGATTCACATCACCGCAAGAGCGACGCATTGAGCTGGATCCCTTGGCAGCACTGTCCTCACGCACCCACTTCGGTCTCATCACTGAGTCGTCATTAGGCCTACTCTCTTCCCGGACTGACAGAAGCCCGTGGATTAGCAGTCAACAGGCAAACACACCTATCACCACCAGCTGGGCTTTCTTGTTTTCCACCAAGGCAGTGACGGTGTTAACTCCTAGAAAGCACAATCACTGAGCATTCACGGGGCCGCTCTGGTCANCCCCCCCCAAAAAAAGATACTTGCTAACCCCAAGTAAGATTCAACCCAAGATACCAACAGACATATGCTGAAGGAAAAATTTGTATCGTTTAAATTATTTTTATTTACAGCAAACTCTACTATGTACATTTCACCCCAAATCACTTTCAAGTTCTTTTGGCCTTTCCTTTTTCCAGGCTTGGCGATGTGAGCCACAGACTTGGGACCCAGGACGTTGCCTCCCCAGTGACGGCGAATCTGAAAACACAAAAAGAGGGAGTCAGCTTAGCCTCTTGTTTTCTCAGATTTTCAAGGTTACTGCATGGTTCTGTTGGGCTGTTCCAACCTGATTGCCAAATAGAACTGCTCATACGTTAAGGCAGCCAGTTGTTTGGGAAAAAGATTAGTACATGACAGTATTTTGTGTGAAGCTGCTCTTACCTCATTATATGTCACTGCAGTCTGTCCTGACAGCTCCCACCAGCTCAGCCAAGGCGCCTTTGTCTTCCCTAACACGGCAGGATGGAAAACCAAAGTGGGTTTTTGGCCTCTCTGTTTCCCTTTTAGAACGTGTAAGTGTCTTCATTTTTAGCTCAAAACAGACTTTTGCCTCAGATGTAATGTGACCACACACGGTTTATTCAGGTGAAGAAATTCGTAACCATCATTGGCAAAAGTTCAGATAAATGTATTTCTTAAAAGATCGGCCTTTAAGGAAAACAACTGTGACGCGTGTATTCAACGCACTGGGGAAGTCTTCGGGCAGGCCGTGTACTTACTCATTAACTTGGCTGAATGCGACAGTGGTGCAGGTCTTCCTGTGGACGAGACGTCCTAGTCTTTCCTTAGCCTTGATAGTACAATAAGGGACTCCCATTTTCTGACACAGGGCAGGCAAAACTACCAGCTGAAAGAAAGCATTAGCTGAAAAGTGTATTTGGACCAAAAGCAGTACATTTCAAAGCTAGCTCGGCAGCAACTGCTCAGGGTTAAAAAGCTCATGGATTTCCACTTCAAGGTTGAATTCAGTGAGAGATTCACATCACCGCAAGAGCGACGCATTGAGCTGGATCCCTTGGCAGCACTGTCCTCACGCACCCACTTCGGTCTCATCACTGACTCGTCATTAGGCCTACTCTCTTCCCGGACTGACAGAAGCCCGTGGATTAGCAGTCAACAGGCAAACACACCTATCACCACCAGCTGGGCTTTCTTGTTTTCCACCAAGGCAGTGACGGTGTTAACTCCTAGAACACACAATCACTGTGAGCATTCACGGGGCCGCTCTGGTCACAAGAAGCTGCTGGGCCCAGGTGTTGACTCAGTGTTAAAAAACTCGCTTTTACTCTAATCATTTCAGGTGAAGAAATTCTACATCACTGCAACAGCCGGCCCCCAGTGTTCACCCTAAGGCGGCGTCTACTCACCCGTTCGAAGGACAGG